CTTCTCTGGCGAACTGTCAGCTCGGGTCCTGTCGCCTTGTCAGCTCGGGTCCTGTCGCCTTGTCAGCTCGGGTCCTGTCATCTTATCAGCTCGGGTCCGTGCGCCCTTTCACATATTGTTAGATATCTATGTGCCAGAAGGTTGATGTATCCTGATTCCACAGGAAGAGGACATGGAAAACCTTGTGTTTGATACCTTCCCAGATCTTGCCCTACGTGTCCCTTCTTCTGGCTGTTTCTGATTTGTACCCCCCCTGCCTTTTTTTTCACTATAAGATTTTAATAATAAATATAGCACTTTCCTGTGAGTCATTCTAGTGAATTATCAAACCTGAGGGGGTAGTGGAAACCCCCAAATTTGTAGCTTGTTGGTAAGGAGTACAGGTTGCTTGGGAACCCCTAACTTTGTGGCTGGTGTCTGAGTGAGGGCAGTCCTGTGGAGGACTGAGTCCTTAAACTTTTGGAGTCTGATGCTAACTCCAGGTAGTTAGTGTCAGAATCACACTGCAGATAAAAAGACAGTAACTACAGAATAATAGATATTCTCATTAGGCAGGAGGATGATACAATTCTAAACTGTATGTACCTAATAACAGCTTCAAGATACAGGCTGGTGTGTTAGCTCGGTTGGTTAGAATGCAGCCTGGTAACACCAAGGTCATGGGTTCAGATCCCCATACTGGCCAACCACAAAAAATATCACAGCTCAGCTGGTTAGAGTGCAGTGTTGTAACACCAAGGTCAAGATGAGATCCTCACACTGGCCAGCCACCAAAACAAACAAAAACCCCAAAGTACATTAAGCATAAGTTGAGAGAACTACAACATGAAATTGAGAAACACACCTAAGTTAGAGACAGATCAAAGTGACAAAAAAGTAATTCAGGGTATAGAAGATTTGAACAACACAATTACCGGCTTGAGCTAATGAACAAATTAATATAATTGCACCTAACAACTGGAGAATACACATTCTGCATAAATATTTACAAAAATTGGCAATATATTATGCTATAAAGCAAGTCTCCATAAATTTCAAATAATCTGTATCATTTGAACCACATTCTCTGACTACCATGTACTTAAGTTAGAAATCAGGGGCCGAGCCCGTGGCGCACTCGGGAGAGTGCGGCGCTGGGAGCGCAGCGACGCTCCCGCCGCGGGTTCGGATCCTATATAGGACTGGCCGGTGTGCTCACGGGCTGAGCGCGGTGCGGGCGACACCACACCAAGGGTTGCAATCCCCTTACTGGTCACGAAAAAGACAAAAAAAAAAAGAAAAGAAAGAAAGAAAGAAATCAGTTACAGGGGCTGGCCCGTGGCTCACTTGGGAGAGCGTGGTGCTGATAACACCAAGGCCACGGGTTCAGATCCCTATATAGGGATGGCTGGTTAGCTCACTGGTTGAGCGTGGTGCTGACAACACCAAGCCAAGGGTTAAGATTCCCTTACCAGTCATCTAAAAAAAAAAAAAAGATCAGTTACAAAAGGAACATAAAAACCTGAATACATCTGGGAATGAAGTAATGTATTTCTAAATAACTCACTGGTTGAAGAAAAAGATAATACAACAATTGGGACAAATTTTGAACTAAATAATAGAAAACCACTATGTACCTAAATGTGTGGGGTTCAACTAAAATGGTACTCAGAAGGAATTTTATTACCTGGCTTAAATGGTTGTAATGGAAAAGAAGGATAAAAATTGATAAAAGAAAAACACAACTCAAGGAGTTAAAAATTCAAAAAAGAACAGAATAATTTTTTTTTAAAAAGGTAGGTGATAAGGGCAGAAATTAATAAAATAAAAAGAAAAGGTTTAAAATTGCTCAGGGGCTGGCCCGTAGCTCACTCGGGAGAGTGCGGTTCTGATGACACCAAGGCCCCGGGTTCGGATCCCATATAGGGATGGCCGGTTCGCTCACTGGCTGAGCGTGGTGCTGACAACACCAAGTCAAGGGTTAAGATCCCCTTACCGGTCATCTTTTTAGAAAAAACAAAAACAAAAAAACTGCTCAAAGTTGTTTCTTTGAAAAAAGCAATAAAATTGAGAAACCGCTCCTAAAATTGATAAATGAAAAAAAACTGAAAAAGCATAAATGCATTATTTAGAAATGAGTTCCTCTTCTTTCTGCTAGCGCAGCAAGTGCTTATTTTCTTCGGGCCTGTTCTCACATCTCCTCAGAGGAGGAAATCCAGGCCACAGGAAGTATGCCAGGTGGCAGGATCCGCCCAACACAACTTGGTTTCCAGCCATTTCACACCAGAATTATAGAAGCCATGACAGTGAGGGTCAAACCTAATTTATAGAGAAAACTGTGGGTGAATTTTATATAGGTTATAAATTTTAGACACTGCATGATATTCTTAATTCTTTAATTTCCTTCTGCCGCCAAGAGGTGAAGAGAGAGGCACATTTCAGAAGAGACAGGCAAAATAAGCTAGAAAATTCTATATTCTAAGTCAGTGCAAGTACCCTACAAACTCCAGTGACCTCAGACAAAATAGAAAATTATCTATGAACTAGTCTCCCAGAAAGCATTAGCCCTGAATCGTTTTCATAAGGAAATTTTGTGAAATTTTAAAAACCAGGCAGGTAGTTCTAATGCTAGCTTTCTACAGAGAGGAGAAAACAAACAAAAAGTACTTCCATATTCTTTACATGAAATGAGTATAACACTGATCTACACATTAAAAAGGTTGACAAACTATAAACTAATTTCACTTATGAATTCTAATTTAATATCTTAAATAAAATTAGCAAACAGAATCCAATATCATACTAAGGAATAATGTATCATATCCAAATGAGTTTCATTCCAAAGGCGAGGACCACTATTAGAAAACCTATGAACATGGGCCGGCCCGTGGCTCACTCGGGAGAGTGCGGTGCTGATAACACCAAGGCCACGGGTTCGGATCCCATATAGGGATGGCTGGTTCGCTCACTGGGTGAGCGTGGTGCTGACAACACCAAGTCAAGGGTTAAGATCCCCTTACCGGTCATCTTTTTTTTTTTTTTAAAAAAAGAAAACCTATGAACATAATTCAACATATAAGTATTCCATGGAAAAAAAAGAAATCCATAAACATGGAACTGACCTTTAAAAAAATTCCCAACTGTTCTTGAGGAAAAAACAGATAGTAAATAGGAATAGCTGTATACTTCCTCAACATGATACAA